ATAATGTCATTTTATCCCCATTCTTTAAAGGACCCCTTGAATTCTATGCACATTCTGTCCAACAGTGAACTCCAGGTTAAAAATCCTCTCTAGTTCAAAACCCTGCTCAAACTTTTTTGTGCGTGATAAATTTAAAAATAACGATTCCTGCTTTGATCTAGCTCTCATCTGAATATACCACCGTCTCCCTGTTTCCGTGCAGATATACACACACCAAACCTAGTGAGTATTTCTGTGGTTTGTCTAGCCAACACCCGTCACAATTGTGCCAGGCAATAAAAGCTGAAGTTGAAGGAAAAGGGATGAAAACTACCAACAGTCCCTCACTACCAGACCTCCAACAGCAAGTGGAAAGATGCCAAGTACAGTGTGTGTGTTTATGGTAGGTGGGCTGCCCCTAGACCCCCGTCCAGCTTGCCAACCTTCCCGGAAACAAGACATCTTCACCAGCGGCACTCAGAAGACATTCCATCTCCTCTCACCTCCTATATTCAGTTCCCTACCTGCCGGGTTGCTGGCCTCTAGTCTAACTCGAAGCCGCCCCGCGGTCCTCCAGTCCCTTTCCACCCCATCCCCCACGCGTCCCTCCCTCTTGTCAGCCCCAGGCCTCCCTAGCCCCTGTGCACCGCCACGTCTCTTCCCTGGGCCTAACCGTGTGTCCTCCCACACCCGCTCGCCCGACACTCATGGGATGGGCCCAAGGCCCAGGGGTCAGTTGGACCGGGCGACCCGGCCGACAGGCGCAGGCTGCGGCCCTAGGCCAGAGCAGTCGGGCCCCTATAAGCAGGGAGCCGCGCGCTTCGCGCGGGTTAACCCGGGATGCGCACTCACCAAGGGGCTCATGCGAACGACGACACGAAGGACTCCGCCAGACTGCCACTCGGCCTCCAAGCCGTCGCCCTCGCCGCGAACTGCCGCCGCCGCCGCCGCCGCCACCTTCGCCACTCGCTAGTTGGCTTCCCTGCGTCCTGCAGCGGCGCTGCCGCCACGCCAGCGCGCGTGCGCGGCGCCGCGGAGGACCCTGGGACCGGTAGTTCGGCCTGGGCGGCCCGAGGCTCCCTCTTCCGCCGGGGGCGGCCGGGTTAGCTGCGGGATGCGGCAGTCGCGGGTGTCTGGATCCGGAACTGCCTTCCCGGAAATTGTCCACGGAACATGGGCCGTCGCTTCTTCGTACAGTGATGCTGCTGAATGTGAAAATCCGCCTGAACGAGTATGTGTAAAGTAAAAATTTAGAGCATCGTACATTTTCTATAAAAATCCTCACTTGCTTGGAACATTTTATTCGAATAACTCACACAAACACATCCCTCACAAACCCTCACAAACCTCCCCTCCCTTTCTGTTAATTGATTTGGGCGTAGCCGGATTTTCAGTATTAAGCCTAGTTTCCCACTCTGATTTTACCATTGTAAATTCTTGTTTTACTTACTGAAAATTAGATTGACCATACAGTTATTTTAAGTCAATTGACAATTTATCTTTTGTTTTTTGTTTTTTTTTTTTTTACAAAATTACTCATATATTCAGAGGTCCAGTTAGCTGAGTTGAACAGCCATAGCAACCTTAAATTTGAAAGATATCATAAAGGTCATTAGTGCAACTCCCTGCCAGGCAGAAATTCCCTCTTGTACATTCAGCCAGATGGTCATCTTACTTTTATTTAAACAGTTCAAATTTCAGGGAGCTCAATACCTACAGTATTGCAGCCTGCTCCACTGTTGGACAGCTCTAAATATTAGAAACTTCTGCCTCCTGCTGAGCTGAAATTTGCTTCCATTTTACTTCCATTACTGGTAATTTTGCTGCCTGGAGCAATACAGAATGTTTTCCACCTGACAGCTCTTCACAAAACTGAAAACAAAGATTATATCCTCTAACATTGGGAGTCTCCAGGGAAAAAAGAATTAATAATCATTTCCCAACTATTTCAAATGTGAATCGGCTCCCAGACTGCTTTCCCTAATGTGTCCCCTTTAAAAATTGTCAGAATTTGCTTCATATTTATTGCCTCATTTTATTACTACATTGTATTCTCTGGTAGGCTGGTCAGGTGTTACTGCTATCATGTGCCATTCAACTGATTAAAGAATTCAATCAAAAATTATTAGCTCTGTTACAAGACATTGCCCGAAACACCAGGGGGATAAAAAAAAAAAAGCAAGAGGGTACAATTTACCATCTAGGGTGGAGGGAAACTCCCACAGCTTAAGGATCTTAATAATAAGCTAAGATACAAAGTGCTATGAGAATCCCAGAGAAAGTGGCCTCCTCATGACCTTATGGAGGAGGTGACATTTGGGAGTTACTCAATGGCTGGGTTTCAAGATAAGAGATGGCATTCGTGAACTGCTAAGAAAGAACCCAGCCTGAACAAAAGGAACAAGTTCACAATGGGCTCTGGAACACCAAGTGTGAAAGGGCCAGAGTACACAGGCCAGGGAGGAAGGGAAGGAAAGGCCCCCAAAGTTGCAAAAAGATCTTGAGGGTGGTGAGGAAACAGCATTATATATAGTGAGTAAAAAGAGAACTGGGATGGTCAATCATTCTGAGCCCTGTTCTGTCACCTGCAAAAGAAGAACTTTAACTAGATGGGGGGGGGGTGTTTTGTTGTTTTTAAAAAGATGGGATCTCACTCTGTCACCCAGACTAGAGGGCAGTGACCCTATCATAGCACACTGCAGCCTGGAACTCCTGGGCTCAAGGGATCCTACTGCCTCAGCCTCCCGAGTAGTGGGAACTACAGGTGTGTGCCACCATACCTGGCTAAAATAAGCAGTTTTCAATGTTTTTTTCCACTCAACACACACAAAAAATTCAACGCTCCTGCTAGAAACAATGGGTCATTTCAACAGTGATTCTTGCAGAATATGGAATATATGAGAGAGTAAAGTCAAGAGGTGAAAATTTGCTCAAAATCCATAAATAGTACTCCCTGAGGACAGAGAACCCCACTGTATCCCTGGCAGTATCCTGGCATACTGCCTAGAATGTAATAAACGTTTGTTTCTTGTTTTTTAAATGAATAAGATGAATAAACAGTGAACCCTATCCTTAAATGAATAAGATGAATAAACAGTGAACCCTATCCAAAGCCTTTTTCTTTCCACTGCAACACTCAAGTCTCTCAGCCTTCCCTAACATAGAGGAATATGAAGTTACTGGTCCATAGTTACCAAATTCATACTGGACCTTGATTAGAGCTCAGTTCTTCAGACTCCCAACTCCATACTCTCCAGTAAAGTACGCTGCCTTGGAATCGCAGAACAGACACAAAAATCAGAACTTTTTTTTTT